TTTTTGGATGAACCGGTCTGAAGTACCGGAGACAAGCATTTATTAACCTGCGAGAGCAGTTATAATTTAAGCATAGTTGACACTGAAACGGATAAACTCCCGGAAATAGCAACCGAAATTGCGCTGGGAATCACCGTAAGCAGTTACGTTTGAGATGTACAGCATTGGCTGGTGGTTTCCCGCCTGCATAATGCATAATGCAGGCCGGCCGTCAGTGCGAAATTTGTAAATAACCGAAGTTAGAAAATGTCAGGTTCCAAAGAGTGGGTGATATCTGACATTTTCTCTATACGTGTGACCTTTTCAGCGTGTTACTTATTTCTTCCTTCTTTCCTCTTTTTTTTTTTTTTTTTTTTGATAGCTTTATTATTGTTATTATTATTATTATTATTACCTCCTTTTTTTTTTTTTTTTTTTTTAACGAGCGATCGGATTCCAAAGAATTAAATTCGCGATCGCTTAGTTGGAATAGGCTTTTGTTAAGATTGCCGCAATTGTAGATGGGTGAGCTCTAATATATTTATGAAAGGCTTCTGATGACTATCTTCCGATCCTTTGGATTAAAGTTAGTTGAACACCTCGTACAACTAATTCTGTAGTCCCTCCAGCCTGGAAGCTGTGCCCTGCTACGTCAGCACCAGGCAGGAGAGATTTAAGGTAACTTATAAACCATCGCTTCGTAGCGAGATTGCCATCCGATTTGATAAACAAAACGTTGTGCCCTGGTGCGTACTCTGGGTTAGTTCTTCAAATTATGTATGCTTTAAGCCCTTGGATTGGGCATAATTCATCGTTTGTTGAATGGATAATCAAAATTGGTCGTTCAGTTATCTTGTGGCTTTTGGTCCTAGGTAATTGAATAGTAGCAAATGTGTTTTCACCTGCTCTTTCGAACCGTAACGCTCTTGTCATTGGGGTCTTTGCTACGTCTCGTTGTGAGTTAGGAAGAAGCTCACCCAGTCGGGCTAAGCCATAGAACGCAATCAGGGACACTACCCAAAACAATAGATCATCTGATTTAGCGATGTTTATATTTTTATATATGTGGCGTAAGTGCTCTCTCATTATGTGCTCCTTCTGTTTTGTTGGCGCAAATGTGTGATTACTTTCTATGGTTTTTAACACTTGCTTCACTAAAGGATCATAGCACGTATCCTTCCATTCCATATGATTCATCATATGATAGTGGTTTAGAGCGGATAAATACGATATTATAGTTTGTGGTGAAACCTTCAAATGCAGGTGCTTAATGTATTTCACTAGATTCGTCTTTGACACCGGCCATATTGACCCATCTTCGTTGGTCCATTTATTCGTAACTGCTGATATTTGGAACCGCTTTATTATTGCCTTATACGTTTTGTATAATATGGGCTCTATGCCCAAAATCTCTGCTGCTTGTTCGTCCAGCGCTATGCTGTGTGCTTTGGTTCTATTTCTTGGTTCAGATATTACCTTCTGTTCTTCAGGCATGTAGACTTCGGCCATTTGCTCTACTGAATTAAAGAAGGAATGATGTGTATTAAGTTAGTAAAATTGGTAGGAATTATAGGTTGTAGGTAACGAGCATGTGGATGTTTTGCCACATATTCCCTGTGACCATTGCGTGATAATAAATCCGCTTCGATGTTATTCTTCCCCTCTATATACTCTAATTTTACTGAAAAATTCCCCCGAATTTGGGCCATGTACATCTCAGCAATTATTTCATTGATTTTTAAGTTCTTACAGGACCCCGCATAACAGGAGGGAACGTTGTTGTTACACAACTGATTTTACACACGGTGTGAAACACATAAAAAAATGATTTTACAATACTCGATCGGACTTGATCAGTCAACTAGTACATGTTACGATTATAATCCAACCTCATTTTTTAATAATAAAAAATGGTGTTGGATTATAATCATAACATGTACTAGCTGACTGATCAAGTCCGATCAAGTATTGTAAAATCATTTTTTTATGTGTTTCACACCGTGTGTAAAATCAGTTGTGTAACAACAACGTTCCTCCTGTTACCCCGCATAGAACGCTTCTGCATTAGATTGATTATCAGTCCACATTATTACACGCTTTTGTGTTAGCACTGGAAAAAAGGTTAGGATTGCTATTAGGCTGGTAAGAAGTTCACGCATTTGTATGCTGTAACTTGTTATGTTAATATTTCTCGACCAATTGAATATTGTGAAGTACATGCTATACGTTGCTCCGCATCCATGAACAAATTTAATGTTTCGGGTTGGAGCCAAACCCTGTCTTCCATGAAATAAATACCTGACCACCCAGGCAGAACATTCAACCACCATGTAACGTCTGCTTTCATGCTGCTTGTGACTTTTATATGTAATTTTGGGTTCTTGGTGCCCTCTAACGCTTTGATAAACCGTTGAACAAACGTTCTGCCCTGGGGAACTACCTGGCAGATCCACATCATTGAGCTGACCAAAGACTGCAAATCTTTTTTAAAGCATCATTTTTTCTTTTTCCATTCCGTCAGTATATTGATGATCTTGTTCTTCTTTGTTTCTGGAATCGATGCTGACAGGTTAATGGTGTCAATCTGGATCCCTAGGAATGTAAGTTCGGTACACGGGCCCTCTAATTTTGACTGTTTGTACGGAATATTTAGTATCTTTAGTATTCGGAGGAATTGATCTAATTCTTGCTCCGCATTATATCGAGAAATAATTAGAAAGTCGTCCACGTAATGAATAATAGACTGTATTCCTTGTTGAACGGCGATCCACGTGATCATGTCGGCGAACCGACAGAATATGCCTCCCGAGGCTCTATTTCCAAAGGCTAATGCCTTGTCGAAGTAAATATTGTTCTCATGTCGCAGGCCTTGCAACACCTGATCGATTGGATGCACAGGTAATATACGGTATGCGTCTTGTATATCAACCTTGGATAGTAAACATCCGCGGCCGTATTGCATTATCCATCCGATTGCATGATTCAAATTTTCGTATTTGGTCGCGAATTCAATTATATCTATGCCATCGTTCACACTCGCCCCAAACGGAGCTGATAAGTGTGATATTACCCGAAACGCCTTAGAATTTGTATCCTTTTTCTCTACTAACCCGCATGGGTTTATCTGAAATACCGAGCAAGGAGGGCTAGATAATGAAAATGGACCACACATCTGTCCCGCCCCAAGCTCTTTAGCTATATAGTCAGTAAATGCTCTAGGTTTTATTTCAATTGATTTTAAGTTCTCTTGTATCGTTACTGTACGTTTTCCTGTAAAATTGAACCGAAATCCGTGCTCTATACCATCTATCAGGTACCTAACGAAATTACGATTTGGATGATCACGTGTCAAGTATTCGAATGCCAATCTATTTACTGGCGTTGTAGCTTTAAAATTTTAGAGTTCAGTTGTGCCTTAATTTCGGTTTCTTCTTTTGACAAAGTGTTGCACCTGGGCGGAATGGCCTCGAATGTTTGAGTAACCGATTGTAAACTTGGCTTCGTGCATGCCATTATTGCTCTTGACGCCTTGAACTGCGCCGTATGCCGTGAATAAGTTCTTCGACCTTTCCTTGCTGCTATCATTGGTATGAAGTCATGTTAGTATAAACTTATTTACTGTAATATAACTACTCATCATCAAATTGTCTACGACATGCATTCATTCTCTATTATTATTATTATTATTTTTTCGAACTCATGTGTTGAAACCTCTATCGCACACGTGATAGCAATTTCTCACGCCTATTTATTTTATCTCCCTTTTTTTCCCTCTTTTTTTTTTTTTTTTTTTTTTTTTTTTTATCAATCGACTGTACGATTCCCCTTTCCCCTTTTTATTTTATTTTATTTATTTATTTTTTTTATATGAACTTATGTCACAAGTGGCTCTATTTCTTGTAAGTCACCAACTACAGATCAACTCTTGGGGAGATATTCTTCCCTGCATTGGCATTCCTATGCCTGTATCCTTTTCGGTAGCAAGTTTTTTCGTTATAACCCAATTTTTTACATACTATGCATGCATGAACCCTCCCACATGCCTTATCTTCCGGGCACGATTTCTTATTCCAATTTAGGCATATTTCTTTACCATCATACCATGCGGTATCAGCCCAGTTCGAGCGCCAACCTTCGATTCTTGGTCTTTTTGTTGTGGATGCGTCAAAATTCTTCCCTTCTGCTTCGATATCTCTGTCCATCAATGTAGTGTCTCGGTTCATAACCAGTGAGATTCTTCAATCTTAGTCGTATTCTAATACTGCAGAGAACTCATGCTTTATGCATAATTCGTTTATGTGGTCTCTGTATGTATTCAGCTCCTGCTCTCGATTTTCGTAGAGTATAATTACTGCATCCATGTACGCTTTAAACGCCAGCAACTATTCAGATATATTCTGGAACATGCCACTGCGTGAGCGCTTCCTTATTGATATAGTCCCATTCTCGGATGCCTGTAAGACCGTGTCCTCGCTCATATACTTAACATTATCAATCATATTCTTCTGCGAAAATTCTTGGAGATTTATGAACGAGCCTAACGCCAACGATTTCCATACCTTGTTCGTTAAGCTTGGCTTTTGTGGGAGTGTCTCGATTAGTTTCTGCCCTCATTCCAATTCGAGACCCACCACAAACGAATACCCTCAGTTTCAATAGCTCTTGGGTTGCTTAACCCTTGAACCATAAACGATTGTTTAATCTCTGAATAGTCTAATACTGGAAATTTTTTAGATGTCGCTTTGCACTTGACAACTCCGCCTTTACCACTTAGGTCAGTTGGGTCCATATCTATGATCAATCTGTTGAGTGTTGGAGTCGATGGATAATTACCTTCATTTTGGCCCTGATTACCTCCTGAATTCGTGCTTCGCGTGGCCTCTACGCTTCGATTCTGTGTTTGCTGTGCGCCTACTATTTGTTCCGTGTCGGTCCGATTATTGATATTGAGTTCATTACCGCCTACATTTGCCTGTTCCAATTGCTCAAACCTGCTATTGATCGATTCAAATTGCTGGTCCATGTACAGCCGCATTAATTGTATAATTGAAGTTGCAGTCTCTTTAACTACTGCGTCTAAATATGCCTTGGTTTCTAAGCTCAGTAGGTTAACTTGGCTTTGAGCCTCTTGCTCTCGGCTCTCTAAAGATTCTACCGTATCTTCCGATAATGTATTGCCTCCTAGCTGAATTGGACCCGTCGCTTTCTTTTGTTTCCTGTTCATTGCAAAATTGCTTACTTCTCGCGGTGGAATTAGCGGTTCTAGACGCAGAAGCCATATTCAATCCCCTTTTCTTTGTGGCCTACCTGTTCTAAACTTGACCGGGGTTGGCGGAACTTGCTGATTGCGGAAGGTCATTTACCTCATACTCCTTTGTTTGGATTTTCACCTGAATCCCGTGCCTTGGCACCAATTTCACATGTTTCCTCCCCGTTGCCCTTTTCCCGTGACTAACCCGGCCCCTGCTGTTCTCACCCCTGCTTAGCTAACTTTTCGATCCGTTGACTATGCATACGCCCGTATGCATGTCAACTCGAATGAATATTTTGATTGGCTGTTTATAACATGTGCCCGACTGTATACGTAACATATAAGTTTGATTAAAAAATTGATTAACGTTAAGAAATTAATCAAGTAATTTATCGACTATAGCCGGCTAGTAGTCGATAGTCGATAATAACTGACCGATAGCTGGCCTAGCTGACCTAGGTGGATCTGTATATGGGGGTTATCGTGCAAACTCTTATGATCATAGATTTTTTTCTTCTTGTACGTTATTACATAAGCACAACAATCTCGAATTAAAACACAGTTAGCCAATAATGACTTGAAAATCATGATCATAATTGCACGATAACATTGATATTGGATCATGCGATGATATTTATCATCGCATGACCAATATCTTATAAATATTGACTAAAAATAGAATACGTAAAATATTAATAGTAACAAAAAATAATGAAACATGATAAGTATCATGATTAGGTTATAATGTTAATCACATTTAACTAATTTTTGATCCCCATATTTAAGTTTTGGGGACAAAATTTATTGTCGATTTTCTAATATCGAATAAAAAAAAAAAATGTTGGCACTCCGTTCTATAATAAAATGTCTAACCCATCTTATCCACAGGTTAACCCATCTTCCCAATTTTTGACGTATTTAATTAGATATATAAATTTATTATAACGAAGCTACTTAGCCTGGGAAACATTTATTATCTCAGCCAAATCACTGTTTACATATTAGCAATCAAAATTTAAAAGTCTTGTTGTTTTACAAATGCGCTATTATTCACATACTTTATTTATTTATTTCAGATTTAATTATTTCCAAATCATTTACTTCCAATCCAATAACTATATACAGTATTATTTTTATATTTCTTGAAATTAAAAGTCTTAAATCTGCATTATATGCCATCTGTAGTATATAAATTTCGATGAAAAGGCTTTGTGTGTAAATTAGTTTAAGTGATAATGCAAAGTAAAGGATTTAAGTTTTTTCATTCCATTTGCTTTATTGTAGAGATTTGTGTGTAAAGAACCCACCAAAGCTAAATGCACAGGAATATGAAATTTTGTAATTTTTTGGGATGTTTTTTCACTTTTTTTTAGGGTTAAGTTAACAGAACTTATGTTTTTAAATCAAGCCTTCAAATTCAGTGTCTGCCGCGACCAAAAAATATTTTAATTAAAAATAAATATTTATAAAAAAATCACCGCCATTATAAATTCATCGTTATAAACATTTGATTTATTAATAACTTAAAGTACAACAGGCGACCATCTACCACAGTATACAATTGCAAATTCACCTTCTCTTATCTTCGCAACATAATCAAGTTCATCATGAGGAATTTATGACAACGGATATTTCAACATCAGAATTTTTAAGAACAAATTCATTTTGACAAATATAAAATGCAAATTCGTTTTATAAATTAATTAATTGAAAAAAAAATTACCTGGTTTAAATTTCTCTAATTAACGATTTACAATATTTTTGCTAATTAGATTGTAATAGCTTCTACCGCATTTTGATTAGATATTACTACCGATTTTGTTACGATTTATAACTTAGACTGTCTTACTTTGTCATATATGATCATTAATAATTTATAATTAATGATTTATATTTCGTCTTACTTGCCGTATATGATCATGTGGTATAAATGTTTAAATAACTATTTATGTCTTATATACTTTGCTATATGTGATCATGTGGTGCAAATGTTTGCGAACTAGATTGTAACAATTTTTTGCCATGTATGGATTAGATCGTAACAATTTTCTGGGTAGTTTCAAGAAGAGTGAACCCAGTGATATCTTCGTGATCATCACATCAAAACACTCGGCCCAGGGTTGTTGGTGGTAAATTTACCACTGGTAAATTACGGTAATTTACCAGGTAATTTACCAAAGGTGTGGTAAATTTACCATTATATATTTAAGGTTAAGTCTGTTTATGCTATTTGATTGGTTAAAATTTTTTAATCATCAAATCACATGATTTTATGTTGCACAAACACTTCTTTAAGAATATCTAAGGGTAAATTTACCATTAATTTATCAAATAGCCAGGTAAATTTACTAAAAACTTTAATAATTATAGTAAACCAATATCCCAGCTCTGGGTTGCAGGTGGTAAATTTACCATAGTAAAATTACAGTAATTTACCAGGTAATTTATCAAAGATGTGGTAAATTTACCTTTATATACTTAAGGTTGAGTTTGACTATGTAATTTGATTGGCCAAAAAAAATTTTTTAATCATTAAATCACATGATTTTATATTATATAAACCTTCTTAAGAATAACTAATAGTAAATTTACCTTTATATACTTAAGGTTGAGTTTGACTATGTAATTTGATTGGCTAAAAAAAATTTTTTAATCACCAAATCACATGATTTTATATTATATAAACCTTCTTATAAATTTACTGGTAATTTACCAAACAGCCTGGTAAATTTACCAAAAAATTTTAAAAATTATGGTAAACCAACAACCCTGACTCAGCCTAAGTCACGGTTAGTGTTAGGGTTAGGTGATAATATAGTTTAGGCCAAATCTGTTAGTGCTAGTAAATAAATGACGTCATTCCATGATTTCACATGATGTGATAATCACTGGGTTCATTGTTCTTTAAGTGTCCCCAATTTTCTAGTGGAGGCAATTTATATTTTATTTTGTTAACTTTAGGGTTAGAGTAACTTAGGCTAGGGTTAGGTTAGATAGATGCTTATATAGCGAATTGTCTCCCCACATTTTTTCATTAATGCCCAAAATAGTTTGGCACTTTTTTTTGCTTTTCTTGCTTTAAATTTCCACAATTTGATTGGACGGTCTTCACGTAATTTGCTTCCACGACGTCCTCGTCAGGGACTCGTATATACGTATATGGGTTAGATTTTATTTGATCTATTACTAGAATTTCCTTGTAATTCTGATAAAAGAAATTTTTATTTATTATTTTTGTAAAACATCAATATTAATTTTATCAATAACTTCAATTTAAATAATAATTTGTAAAAAAAGCTTCATGTAACTATTTTTTCATGTTCTACTTAGAATAATTAGACCAATTCCAAGTTCTAAATCTAATAATTATTTTGTCGGAAATTTTATAGGATAGATGAATTGTAATCACTGAATATAAACAAGAGACAAAACAATTTGATGGGGTAGTTTCAAGAACACTGAACTCAGTGATATTTTCGTGATCATCACATCACATGATTATGCTCTCGGCCTAAGAAGTTAGGGTTAGTGTTAGCGTTAGGGTTAGTTAGTTTAGGCCAATTTGTTAGTGCTAGTAAACAAATGACGTCATTGTGTGATTTCACGTGATGTGATGATCACTGAATTCAGTGTTCTTGAAGTGCCCCGGTATCTGATTTGCCTTCATTGAGAGATGATATAAATGTTAAATTATGAAAATGTATTATGCCACTTTATAATCACCATCACTATATGCAAAATTTAGCTATAGTGATTGATGAATTCTTCGTGTTTTGAGTAAATAGGATTTTAACGTTTCAGCCAATTTGCGAGTAGAGTTATGAACCAAATGGAATTGATCAATCACGGCTCATTAAATCCTATCATGGGATGAAATGAAATAATCAAAAGTTATAATAGTCGATAAGTAAAAAATAATATGAAGTCACTTTCCAAGAAGTAACTTAGAATTTTATACAGAAGGTAATATGATTTATTTAGCTTATTTATTGATAATCCGTGGGTTAACTCCTTTTTAAAGGCGAAAGTATTATTCTTTCATAACGTAAATATCAGTATAGGGACGGGATATGTTTTTTGTTAATTAAACTATTATTCTCACAGCCTGTACTCTTAAAGGTTTCGGATTCCCTTTAAGGGACGAGAATTTTCCTTACTACCCTAGAACATTTTATGGGCGATTGTCTAAGCTCTTAGATCATGATCGATTATTCCACGTTTCTATATGATCGTGTCGTGCCTGAAGTTGACATTTGCCTGAAGTTGACTTGACTGAAATTAACCCCTGATCTTGCATGCATTAATTAGTAATTTTAGGTAATTTTAGGCAAGTGTAACTTCAGGCGCCTGAAGTTACAACTTCAGGCAAGTGTCAACTTCAGGCACGACAATCGCATGGCGGGGTTTACAACTTATAATTACTTTAATCAGTAAAAAAATCGAGTTTCTAGCAATGTTTGTTATTTCCCGGCAACGCTTGTTATTTCCCCGGACTTCCGGGGAAATAACAAGAATTACCGAGGAAATAACAAACATTGCTAGAAACTCGATTTTTTTTATTGATCAAACTAGTGATTATGAGTCGTAAAGCCTGTCATGACATCATATAAAAATGAAGAATAATACCCTTATTTCGCCGCTACGGGGAAATAACCCGGTAGATCTCCACCTACTGTGGGCCCTTCGGGCCCCCAGATGACCAGGGATGTACCTCTTATTCCCGCCGTTGCGGGAAATAAATAGTACATATTCCACCATCGATCGATTATTTATTATACACAGTGATGTGCCGCATATAGTACAGTACGCAAAAAAATTTTTTAGAATATTCTAGAACAAATTATAAAACTATCTGTATCTCAAAAGTTCCCTTACGAAACCGCCTTTTGTATTCTAAGTAAGATTACTCCTTGCGAAATTTTACATATAGATAGTTTA